TATCTCTTTGGATTTGAGACTTTAGTCTTTGCAACTTTACAGATCTTCTTTATGCACCAACAGCTTGTAACACTCCGAAGAGAAAGGAAAAATTTAAATCGCATCATATAACCCCTTTAACAACATCAGCATTACGTAACTATGTGAATATAGTGTGTTTTAGCGTGTAGATTTCAATTTCTGTACAGTCTAATCTCTAATTGTCATACCATTCGAATTTCATATTAAGAAATTCTTTCGAACACTGGCTGGTTATGTACTTGCTCAAATATTGATTTCGGATCATTTTTAACCAAAAAAAGTTACGGACTGCAGCTTTAATGAAGAATTAATGTGAGTACTTTATAGCCAAGTAAATAAAGCTAGATAAATAAATGAATAAATAAAGCTGCACACTTCTGTTTTAAACCCAACATGCCACATAGGCAGCGATAATTTTTACACAGTTTTTGTTTCAGTCATTTGGTATTGTCTTATGATAAAAATGTCCTTTAATCAATATGTCATAACTTCATATACAGTACATTAATTTTAGTCCATCTTATTTTTATTTCATTAATATGTATAAAGATTTGTTAATTACCACGTTTAACATTAGATTTATCAGCATAAAACCTGCAGAAACCATATGTTTTAATTAAATATTTCTTGTTTGGTCTTTGTTATTGTTGACGAAATAAAATAAAAAAACCTTGGTCAGCAAACATTTCACTGACAAGATTAACACCGCCCATAGACTTCCACTATAAGTGCATTGTTGTATAGGGGTTTTCTCATTTTCTTGTAAACTGAGAGGCAAATCCAAATTGCTTAGAGTTTAAGTTGTATATAACACAGAATATTCCTGTAAAACTGAACTGGTTGTTTGATTCTGTATGTTGTTGTGTTGTAGAACTTGGCCATGTTCCTCAGTATGCTGGTGGCATGGTTGATCCCAGACATGCCTCGTTCCCTGAAAGAGCAGCTAAAGAGAGAGAAAGCACTCCTGATGGATCTTCTGCTCACAGAGGAGGCGGACAAGCAGTGCACCCAGTCACACCCAATGACAACTACCAATAATGATGTAGTCATCAAGGGTCTAGAGGAAGGATCACCAGAAGAGCTGCCTGTCTGCAGTGGAGTAATGCTAAGCCAGTCAGATGAAGAGCTGACCAACAGAGAGGAGGAAGAGCTTGAGGAACAATCAGCAGAGGAACCGATTGCATCCACCAGTGATCTGCCTAATAGACCTCGACCTTCGACCTGTGAAAGTCTCAATACAACTTCAGAGTGCCTGTCTAAGATAGCCTGTCATGATGAATCACTCACCACACCTCTAGCATGTTCAAACCAGTCCATTCATTCAATCAAAACCGGCTCACTATCACGACACCGAGAGTTTGACTCGAATGGACCTCCACCTCGAGACCCAAGTTCCAGGGCTAAGAGCCGTTGCCAAACCCTTCCGCCAAGGCACGGAGGACCTGAAGCTGAAGCACATGCAACCAGACCCAGCCACTCGACGACATTCACACATCTCAACCAGAAAGTTCCTCCATCCTCTTGCGAGCTCACCCGTATGGTTCCTAGAGGACCATCTAAAACCAAGCCCTCTGAAAGCCAAACGTCTGTCTCAGATTCACTGGATTCAGAACTCACGAGCAGCCATTCCATAGCACTTCCTCGTCCACCATCCAGACCGGAGCTTGCTAGCAGCCTTTCAACAGTCTTGCCACATCCTCCTTCGAAACCAGAACTTGTGGCCAGTCAGTCAGCAGGACTACCACGCCCTCCCTCCAAACCAGAGCTGATGGGAAGCGAAACAAAAGGGCTTCCACCTCGTGATCCAGGCTCGAAAGTTAAGGGCCGATGCCAGACTCTTCCTCCAAAGTATAGAGGCTCAGAGACTTCTGGGGAGACAAAGACCAGACCTAGTCACTCCACCACCTTCACACACCTCAGTCAACAGATCTCCCCCTCACCCAGTGATCTCAAACGTAACACTCCCGTATGAGTGTGATAAGATGAAGTGGAGCAACACTCCACCTTTTCAGCACCTTGCATCCGATCACCATTCTCAGTGCCAGGTAACCCATGCCATCAACAACTCATCAATTTCTCATTAATGACTGAACAAGCATCTTCAGTAACTCTGGAAGTAGATCAATTGTTGGTGGCTTGGTGGAGGTTCACTTGGTTGGTTAACTAGGGGGACTTCTTTGCACAGAATCACCCTTTTTATTGGAGGACCGAGTGCAGACAAGTTCGACTTGTGCATTCTTGGGTATTTTTATGGAGCCATCTGACGTGGATCGATGACTCCTAAACATTGTTTTATACTGTGACTTGCCATTCTCTCTTTCACATATAAACTCCTGTACAGACATACGCAGATATACACACACCAAATCTCATTAACCTGACCTCTTGAACCAGAACAGGGGAGAAGAGAGAGAGGCTTAGGAATATGGGCCAAAGGGCTTTGCAGTCCATATGATTTGTTACTCAGCAAGTGGAACTTTCATTTTGTGGTGTGTTCTTTCATGAGTTTTGCTACATGTACTTAACCAGAATAATAACTAAATGTGAACTTATTAACACAATACGTCAGCTACAAATGAGCCAACTTGTTTGTGGAATTGTCTTTTTGTCTTTGGTGGCAACATCTGAAGTGTCTCATTCACATGGCAAGTTAGCACATAGCTTGGCAGCACGCTCATGACATGACAAAGAAATGTGATGTTGAAATGGATTCAAAGCCAATTACATTGTACATTGCAAATGCACTGTAGTATTTTACATAATCCCATTTAGCACTATGCTAGCACTGCTAAAGCTAATGTAAAGCATGCTATATTCACTGTGAAGAGGTTTTCAGGGATTTAGACCCAATTGTCACTTGTAAGGTTGTTCCTCACTAACGGGGGACAAAAGGTGTGAATGTGCACAGGCCACGTTCACACTGCCAAGTTTCTGAAGTGACAAACACTTTTATTTGCAGGAATGAATAGCTAAGTTATTGTTCCATTTGTGTATGGAATACAAGTGTCAATCCAAACAAGCAATAATTGATGTCTCGCAGCTGTAAGCATAAAAGATATATGGCAGCAGTTTAGTCTTTTTTGGTGTTTTCTATTTTTCCTCAAACTAATATTAGTGTACTGAGATGTATTAGCGTCTGGCCATTTTTAATGCTTCATTAGTTGTCACTAATATCTAAACTCTGTGTGTACAGAACAGGATTAAGAGATTAGTTCACCCAAAATGAAAATTATGTCATCATTTACTCTGATGTCACTCCAACTAATGTTGGTTTCTTTCATCCCTGGAACACAAAATAAAAAATTATGTTGAGAGTCCAGGCTCTTTGATGTAATAAAGTGAATGGCTATTTATACTTTACAAACTCTATAAAAGACAAAAAGCACCATAAAAGTAGACCAGATGACTCGTATGCTATATTCTGAAGCCATACAACAGGGTTAAGGCTAGAAGGGATACAGCTGCGGCTACTGGGCATGCGCACATCAATATAGCGTAATTTTTAGCGTAATACACTGTACAACAATAATTACTATTTTTTCATTATTGTAAGGGGTAGGTTTAGGGTTGGGGTAGGTGTAGACGTTAATAAAACACAATCTAATAAGTAGAAAATTTATTTCATTGTTCGTTTCTGGTCGGAGCTGTATCCCCTCTAGCCACAACCATACAACAGCTTGTGTGACAAATAAACTCAAATTTTAGGGTTAACTATTAAAACAACTGGAGTTGACAGCTGTATTTAGCTGCAGTGTGGACATGGCTTCTGTGTATTCAAGTCTATGTTGAATGGCAGGTGTGTATGATATGCATTGTTCAAGTAGAACATTCATGTCCATGTTATTTCTAGAGGTCTTGAGAAACTCTGACAATATTTTGATATTATGAAGGGGAAAAAAAAACAGAAAGAAACTGTTCATAATAAAAAGTGGAAAGTAAGAAGATTCTGTTTTTTATTTTATATATTCTTTTAGCATCCCCAGGCTAGAGATTGCATAGAATCTCTAGCCTGGAGGGGGGAAAAGCCGTTTTGTCAGAATGCACTGCTACTTTTGAGTGGCTGTCAATGGTAAATGTGCTTTTATCCCTCATAATATTGTAGTTACAGCATCTACCAGCAGGGGCTTACTGGATTATGCTTACCAGCAAAACCTTGACCGTGTTGTATACTGACTCTAAATGCTGTATTGTCCACCACCACTAGATGGAGACAACAGCAACCTACACAAAAAGACAGTGAGTGGTGGGACACTAGTGAGACAAAGGACTAGGATCAAAATCCAATCATGCACAGACTAGTGAGTATAGGTGGAGCCAGCGATTCATACACTTTAACAATGTTACATAAAGTAAAGATTTCTTCTGTCCTGCATTACCACATATGGGACTTTCCCCCTAGTAAAAATGTTAAGGAAATGTCTAAAGGAACCAATCCTAAACAGGAATTTTCTCAAGAATCAAATTTCATAAACTGAAATGTTCTCATTTTTAAATACATATAAAGCATTAATAACAGTTGTCAAAATCCTATAAGAATGTGTATGAATCATACTGGATCATAATTTAAAACCAACGCTAACGTATATTGATAAACATTAAAAACTAGATCTAGTTACTAATAGCACCATTATGATAATCATTAGAATAATATGCTTGTGTAGGATTTTAAAAGGAATTTAAAGAACAGTAGGATTTCCATTTAATCATTTAGCAGACGCTTTTATCCAAAGCGACTTACAAATGAGGACAATAGAAGATTTCCTTTATCTTCCTTTTTCCTTTATCTATCCAGTAGTAAGGCATGTTCTGAAAACGATTACACAATATCCAGTAGGAGTTCAAGGATCCTGTAGGATTTTCAGTTTCATTTGTTTAATTTCCATTGGAATCTAAATTGGTTCCAAATTATGGAATTTATCACTTTTTTAATTTTAGTCAGTGTGTAGTGTGTATGTTTGGGCATAAAAAAGATCTAGAAAGTTAAAAATCCACTCCAAAGGGAGATATTTCGTTTTTAAAAAATTCATTTTCAAGAACTACAACGAACGGCTCGTTTGGACTACAGCGTTTGTTTTCCGGGCTTTGTGATATCACAAAATGGCTCATGAAGATTTTGATTGGGGCATTGCAAGAACTATGGCTTGCTAATGTACAGTTAAAAATCCCACAGGGGGCGCTATAGGAATTTAAAAATTCTAAACAATTTTCTTTAAATGACTTTTAAGGTTTTACATGGGCATTTTATCTGACTGCTAAGAATAAAACCCCAAACTACAGTATGTGTTCTAAAAGATACAGATTCTGGTTTGTGTTTTGTTGAAGTCCTGTACAAAAATCATTAGTATAATTTTCAGTTGGTTCCAGTTATGATCCAGCAGGAATCCTATACACATTCCTGTAGGATTTTGGCTAGAGTAAGTAGATGCTTTCATACCAAATCTCTCACAAGTTACCGAGTACCACTTGCAGAGTGTTCCTGTAATTCAGCTGGTATAGCATGACCCGAGCAACACTAAGGTCACGGGTTTGGTTCTCATGGAATGCACACACCGATTAAAAAAAACAATGTAAAACTTGACCACACTGTAAGTCATTTTGAATAAAAGCACAAATGTAAATAAGGACTAAAACACTAAATGCAAAGTAAGAATGTCACAACAAAGAGAACATTTCTCTTATTCAACCTGTGAGTTATTAACCTGTTTAGGGCATGCAATATTTCAAGGTTAATGTCCTCCCTCTCCTTCTAACTCGGCCTTTCTTTGACTATACCTGAGGTGATTGTGGCCCTTCCCACATATCCAGTTCTCTGGCCCCCTTTCAAGACACACACAGACGGTTCAATGAGCTCTTCGTGGGGGGGTTGAGGTATGCAGTGAAAGTGTTTGTGTGTGTGTAAGAGAGAGAGAGAGTTCCCTTGTTCTGTTAGTACCTAGTGGATTCATCAGGACTGGGCACAACTCTGGAGGATCAACTTAAAGGTGTGTCTGTGTGTGTGTGTGTGTGTGTGTGTGTGTGTGTGTGTGTGTGGGAACAGAATTACAACAGAAAAAGCAGGAAATCAGGAGGAGGAAAGATAAGAGTGTGTAAAACTAGAAGAGGACACAAATCTGAGAGGGGAAAGAAGGTATGGATGTGTTTGATTTTGTTTGGCATGTGTTCCTCAATCAGTCTTTGGGACGTTATGCGTGTCTGTTTGTCATGGTAACAAACTGTCAGTGCTTACTATAAGAACACATGCAATAACCTGAGCTACACTGCTTTCGCTCTAACAAAATACTACTTGAATCAGAGTGTTTTGCTTTTGCCTTATGTGTAATACAAGGTTAATTAGATACTATTGTTCTATTGTGAGCTGGACTTGTGGGTCTGAATGAATTTATGTAAGTCCAGATCCGTACTGCAGTTGGATACTCCCAGTGAGAGACTCATAAACGGCTCTCTTTAGAGCTGTTCAAACATGTTTTGAACTCTTTTTCACAATCTGTTCCCGCATACTATTGTAGATTTCAGTATTTGCATGTCAATTATCTAAAGTCTGCCACTAATGTTTCTGACACTGTTAAACAAGTCACATTTTCTTTGTTGCAAAAAGCCTCCATGTTCTGAAGGACTAAACTTATGGTCCTGAAGTGGTACAGAAATTTATGGAAGCCCGTTTCCGCCACTGAATAAAAATAAAAAAAGGTAATTGCGATTTTTTATCTCACAATTCTGACTTTTTTTCACAGAATTGTGAGATATAAACTTGCAATTGCGAGTTATAAAGTCAGAATTGCGAATTATAAAGTCAAAATTGCGAGTTATAAAGTCAGAATTGCAGGATGTAAAGTCAGAATTCTAACTTTTTTTCTCAGAATTGCGTGATATAAACTCACAATTGTGAGTTATAAAGTCAGAATTGTGAGATATAAAGTCAGAATTCTGAGAAAAAAAGTCCGAATTGCGAGTTTGTATCACGCAATTCTGAGAAAAAAAGTCAGAATTGTGAGATAAAAAGTCACAAAATTACCTTTTATTTTTTTATTTATTTTTTTATTCAGTGGCGGAAACGGGCTTCCATAGAAACTAGTAAACAGAATTTCCCAGTAAATTTTGCAGGTGTCTGTGTTCATTTGTCTCTATTGTGTATTGTGCTCAGTTATGTATCCTATTACAGGAGCTAATGCATAACACTATAATAGCCTTGGAAAATGGACCCAAATATTCTATTCTGTGTCTGTCTGACTGTCCATCTGTCTATCCGTCTGTCCGTCCGTCTGTCTGTCTCAGTCTGTCTGTGTACATTGAAAAAAATGGTAACCATCTAAATTAACTGGTTTTAATATTAAGAAATATTATTTAACATCACTGTATCCACCTAAATGCCTTGATTTATCTATGTTTATCTATCTATGTTTGTCTGTCTGTAAGGCCTATAAATTTCATGGCTGTCAAGCCTTTTCAAAGTCTGTCTTGAAAAACTTTGCTTTTCCAGTTAAACAATTAGTTACATGAATTTATTTACATGTCAATTCATTCACTTAACAGCATGTAACAGCATGTTTGTGTATTTTTCACAGGGCAATGCTCAGTGAGTGGTTT